TTTTCTGAAAAGGTGGTGTCTATTTACTTGTGACCATGCTGTGTAATGCTCTACTTATCTGATTGCTTTCTGAAGCCCATGTATTACACAATTCTCCCATCACATCATGTTTGTTGCATACTACATTATGGCTTAGAACTCAACTTCTAATAATGATTATTAAAATCTGTTTTAAACAATGAATTGAGCATTGGATTTCCTTTTAGAATATGTATAATTTATCATGTTTTAAAATGAAAGTGAAAAATGATAAGTAAAAATTTTTCATGTGGTGCAAGACTTTGCCAGCTACTTTAAAATCTAAGAGAAATGAAATTTAAAAAAATGTTTATTTAAAAAAAGTTAATTTTATCTGCAAATAATAGTGACTTACTTGATCAAAAGGTTACTTGCAACCAACATTTTGAGATTCAAATCATGAGCAATTGTTAAATAATTCAAAGATTTATTAGAGATTACTCATTACATTACATAATGTTTGTTGTTCAAACTTTGATTGGACATCTAATTATTAAGGGTATATTTGTATTTGAAATTCAGTAATATTCTTTAGCCTAAAATGCTTATTTCAAAAGCATGTTTGATCTGGAAAATAGCTTTTCCGAGAGTGTGATTTATTTTTATGTTGACTTTCCTGAGGTATTTATAGGTTTAGTTCATGAGTCCTGTCTTATATGATTAAGTATTTAATTTATAAAATATTTTTATTATTAGTACTATAAAATACTTTGCAACAGTTTTTTTAACATACTATTAAGGTAACCAAAGAATTTTAAATTTCTCAGCACTGCAAGTCTCACCAATAAAGCACAAAATATACCAATATTTTTTCAGGTATCTTGTGAAAAGTATTATCATTTCAGTAAAATATAAATTCAGGTTTATTTGGAGAACTTGATAATTATGATAATATCTCAAAAACATGATTTGCAGTTTTTGAAGAAATCATAGTAATGAAACATTTTAGTCTTTTGATCGAGATAACTTGATTAGTGAAATTAAATAACACTTGGACACAGAATAATGTTTTAGGATAAAACTGTAATTGTGATAACTTGTCATTATATGAATAAAACTGGTAACAATATCAGAAAATTTTTATTAATGTTATGGTAATATTTTATTCCTAAAGCACTTTTTTTTTTGTCAGACATCGCCGTATGGAAGCCGTACGTCTGCGTAAAGAAAATCAAATCTACAGTGCTGATGAAAAACGAGCTCTTGCTATGTTTAACAAGGAAGAGAGGCAGAAACGAGAGAACAAGATTCTTTCTCAGTTCCGCGATATGATTCATGCAAAGTTGAAAAATAAATAATTTTGGAAGCAAAAAAAATGTATAAACATTATAAAAAACTCGTAATTGTATAGTTGTATATATAAGCCATTTTTCATACTTCAAAATGTCTCGTTATTAATTTTAATGGGAAATAAAAATTAATAGTGAAAGATATACTAGAGTGCAGGATAACCAGTTTTTCTTTCCATAATTATAATCAAAGAAACTTGAAATTTTTGTACAATTAACGATACAACTGTATGTGTAAATTTATTAAACATATTTGATTTTGCATGACTATCTATTAAAAGATGTGTTAGAACAAAACACAAGGTGTAAGCATACTTTGATTCCAGAATTTTTGTTTATATGGCTGTAGCTACACTGACGCATGAATAGGCTATTGCCTTATCTATAGTTTAACTTAATGGAAAGATGCAAGGCTGCAGAAAACAACTGTGCATTCAAGGCATTTTAGGAAACATCCTGTGACACTCCCTTGCCATTTCATTTGTCCTTTTTGGTTCATTGACTGTTGCAAACTCAAGTATCAGTTGCTAGAAAATTGGAAAATTTAATTAGGCCTGTGGCTTTGAGTAGTACATGAGGATGTATAGTAGCTCACTTTAGCATAATACAGGAAATTAATTGACTAAAAAATAAAGTGGGTTGAGTTTGTTGTTACAAAGACAGTAAGCTGAAGACTGAGGGTGTAGAAGAATGAAGTGTTCAAGTTTAATACAGGATTACTTTGTGAAAATAAGTACATATTCGTTGTAGCTGTGATTTATATACTGTGTTTTATATTTGAGCCATTGTGGTTAAAAGGTTACCATAATATTTATAAACGTAGACTGCTACAAGTTAAAAATACTGCTTGAAGGATCCAGGTACTCATCCTCACTGGTTTTGATGTCTAGTAAGGTTTCATTCAAAACTATTAAAATATATCAAAATATAAAATTCTGAATCACCACATCACAGGACATCTTAAAACTTTTCAAGGTATAGTCTTTATTTATGTAGAATACACAAATATTTGTAATTTAATATCTCTTCATTGTCACAAATGTAACTCTAGTCCAGCAATAATTTGTAATACTTAATTTTTATCAACAAATTTTTATGTTCATGAACTACATAATAAAAAAGCAATACTTTTGATACTTGACATTAAACAAGTTTGTAATTCTATATGCCTTCCTTTGGAATAATAAAAAAACGCCAGCTAAAACCAAGAATATTAAAATACATGGAAGATCTTGAACTCGCCATTCTTAAAACTTTCCAAAAATACTTAAGTTTATGAAACATATCCACCAAAAAATGCTTAACTTTAGTCTTCACAGGATAAGAAAGAAAAAAGATACAACACAAAATATCAAATCTTTGAAGGGAAAGGAAGTCATTTAAGCTGAAATATGGGTCATTTTTAAAATAAAACTTAGCTTTGTCAGTTTTTTAAAATCCAAAATTTGTAACAATAATAAAAGAAAATAAGCAACCATTTGGCAGCATTATGGCCACTGTGAAGGCTGTAAACATGCTCTCGGTTTCAGTAAATTTCTTTTCACAAGTATTAAAATGGATCAGGAAAATTTGAAATAGTGAGAGTTCTTGTTTAAGGAGTGCAAAAGTAAGAGTCTTGGAAGACTGCATATGCTCAAAGTAACATTTTCATGAAAGTAATTTATAGCAACACATTCTTTATACATGCTAAAACAAAATATTCATAACTCTATAAAGCTATACAAACTGGTTTTAATATCTAACCCACAAAAAGCTGAAGCAAGACACCAAAACCCAATAACGTGATTTTTAAGTGTGTGTGTTTGTATAGAAACAATTACTGTTCTTTTGAACAAAATTTAGTGAACGTTAATTCTTTTGCCAAGATTTTTAAATTTCAACACAGCAACCTTGTGTTGTAGAATACGGCATCATCAGACCTGTATACAATAGCAATGATAAAATATTACAGTATTGTAAAAGTAATTTTGTGAAGATTCTATAAACCATTGATTTAAGTTCTAAAAAATATAGAACCATTTATTAAAAAAAAAACTATACTATAATGCATCAAAATGTGTACAGAGTTTTTCTTAAATTACCATACCATGAATTACTTCTCAACCTTAAATCTTGATAACAGGTGTGCTTTTAACTGCTAATGGATTGTCAATACAGGTAGTATCATGCAAAACAATGCGTATTTCCTATGTTATAGACAGTTATCACCTGTACTTAAATGAGAAGAAATTTAACATTTTTGTTAAGAGGATTTCCTTTACAATTTTAATACTATGTTAAACTTTCTGATGGCTGAATGTATAGTAGTAAAGAAAAAACTCATCTTCTGACCAAATGTGTACTTCACTACAGCACCTTTTCTTCCCTCCAAAGTGGACAAGTTATTGAAGTAAAATTACCAAACTACAGTGTATTACAGAAAGCAATAATATTAGCTCAAGTATTTTGATGAGCCTGAGAGATAATCTAAGCTTAATAGTTGGATTGTGTGTGTATTAGGTGAAGCTACTAGATATTTTTTATTCACATACTTTGTAATTCCCCATATACACCAATGGCAAATAGCATGGTACTGACAAAGTAAAATTAATAATAATTATTCAGTGCCTTTATGCAAAAATCAGTGTATTAATACAATCTGCCAGAAATATTTTTCAAAGTACTTTAAGTGTTAATAAGAATTTGAGAGTAACAAAATTTTGCTGATTCTGATGAACAGGTAAAGATTTATTATCTTTGTTACCCTAACATCTTGCTCATCCCATTTTCATGATTATCTTAAGATGTTACCAAAATTTTAATATTTAAGTTCAATGACAACAAGTGTTTTCATCATAACATTTTAATTATAATACACAAAACTTAGTTGTATAATACCAAACTGAGGCATTGTGACTGATGAATTAAAAAGTACAATTCTATGTTTATGAGTAATTTCACAACTGAAAGTTACATTCAACTACAATCTGTTTTTTTTTTATTTTCATGCAATATCACCAGCATTATGATTGCTTTTCAACATATTTACAATCAAAATAGCACAATACAAGAAATTCATCCAAAAGATATCTGAAGTAACTAAGTTATTTATGCAATTGTTCAAATAAGGTATTTAATTATGTAAGAACACCTTTAAAAAACCTTTGTTATTTTTACTGCAGAAATGTTTAACATTAAAATTTCATTTTTATGAATAAAAAAATTGAAGTCATTCTAAATCCAGAATAAAGGTCCCATATTTAAAACCTGCTTTAAGAATTTATTCATTTAAAAATACACCTTAATTATCATCAAAATCTTACACAACTGCTGATCTAAGTTTATAACATTTTGAAATGATAGTAAATGGATAATTAATAAAAAATAAAAATTACAAGCATAGTGAAAATAACCAAATGATGAATCAATGTATTCTAATCATTACAAGTTTTTAATTCTATGACACTGGACACTCTTAGCTAGACTGGTATGTTAAATTAGCAACATAATATATTGGATTAACATTTAATTCTGATCCATATATGAAGCTTGCTTTGATAAGAAGTTACTGATAATAAAAAAAAAAATTATTGGTATAACAGAAGATGTATTTCATATTGAATAGGGTAATAATAATAAAAAACTCACAATGATAAGTACATTCCACAACATACTGACTACACCACTACCTCAAGAGGTATGAAATAATGTCTCTGATGAAGATTATTATTCTTTGAGGAAGCTTCGTATAAAACTAAATATTCACTAAAATAGATTACTATAATTTGTCTTGATTGACGCTTAATTTAATAATTATTAAATGACATATGAAATAAACATAGTCTAAGTAATAATTAAAAAAATAATCATTTGATTATGATAATCTATTAGTTATAGTAGTAACTACTTTTATTTGATCATGCTAATCTACCAAACACAAACCTTACTACCTAGAAGATCTGTTACAATAACCATAACAGATTAATTCCCTTTTCCTGTACTTTCTTGTTTTCTGTTTCACTAATTCATAAAGGTTTTAAGAAAGTTATGCATTTTTTTCTTAAAATCACCAGCAGAGTTGGAGAATTAAAAACCAAGTACTATAAATTACCTAAATTTAATATATGTAATATAACTTTCGAACATTCTCACGTACAGGATTATAGTAGTTTACTAGTAAGGACCAAAAACAACTTCGAAGGTTATTTTTATGGTAATGTGATAATATTACATTAACACAAAACAGAATGACAATTATACAAAACTGGGTTATTGCCCATTAAAATGATACAACAAAAGAAAAAGTGCTACTTATACCAAGAGCAAAAGTGCCACATATCAATACTGAATAAGTATGCTCTCTATAGTGCCATAGAAAATGTATTAGTATGACTATTATATATTTTAGTACAATTATAGCATATAATTTAACATTCCATTAATGTTGTATTATCGTACTTGATTTTTACAAGCTTACTAAACACTTTTATTTATGAAAATGTTTTTGATCATTTTAATAAAATATTGCTTCAATACATTTGAAGTTACACAAAATGTATAGATTTGGGGAGGGTGAAATTTAATATTATTTATCTTCAATCATTAACTACCTGAGATACTGCCTTAAAATGAGAAAAAATACTCCATGTCCAGATTTTCACCACCACATCATATATATATATATATATATAAACTATGTGAAAAAAAAGGGGTTTCATGGATTCTGAAACTGCTGAGCCATGAATGATGACACTGGCACTGAGTAATCCATCAGCATTTTGAAGTTCCTGTACAAGATGTACTTCACTGGAGCTGACTCCTGACTAAACTTCACACAAACTAATCATGAAAATAAATTTTTATAGATATCTTTTATAATAGAGATTTCTCCACCATAATTCTGTCATAACCCTGGGGAGGCTGATGATAAAACTTGTTGAAAGTTGCATCCAGAATAGCTCCATCGTCCACTGTGTAGAACAGAATGTAAAAGGTTATTGCTAATGGTGTATTACATAGTGTCTTCATAAATCTGACCTATGCTTATACAAAATAAATAAATAATCCAATTTTCTTACTTTGCAAAAAAATGTATATTACACGCATAACTTAACACTCAAAATTCCCAAAAATTCCAACCAAAATTTTTTATAACCTCTGATCAAGATGTTCACATGAAAGAGACCCACTATGAATAGTGGTAAAAAGTAAAAGACCAAAAGATTTTTCTACTAGATCTGAAGGTTCAACAAGCTTCATCAGTTTAATGTGTTTAGAGATAAAGTTTTGATCTGTTAATCAAGTTTTAACCTTCAATTTCTCAAAATTTGTAAAATTGGAATGTTCTCTCAGTAAACTGAAACAGATATATGAAGCTAATTAAACCTTTCAAGTGATACCATGTTCCTCCACTTAATAACTGAAACAAATTTTAACTGTTAATCAAATTAACCCTGTATTACAGTGGAAAAAAAAAATCAACTATTTTAACAACCTTACCTAGCACAAAACATACAAGGTTGTGTGAAATATCTTCTATTTTTTCTTCTTATTTTGAAGGACAGAAAATGGAATACCAAATAAAACAGGGCTTGTACTATTATATAATCATTGTATTTGAAAATAAAGTCCAATTGTTTATAGAAACTAAGAAGATATTATGGAATTACAAAAAAGATACACCACAAATTTTGACACGTGAGTAATCACATAACACACTACAAAAGCTAGTAATACAGAAATAAACTGCTGCAATAAAGATAAGTGATTGAAAATACCAGGCAGTGTCACGATATAAAAGACTGTTTAGCTTAGATGTAATTGTTTAATTTATTTTGTGAGAGAATATTTTATTATTATTATTGTTTAGTTTTTCTTATAATAAGAGTTAAAAGCAGACGATTGTAGGAAGTTATGTTTATAATTCATTGATATTGAGACTATCAAACGTTGGGTGCAATACAGTGACATCGAGAATATACAGAGTTCTAGAAGGTGGGCAGATGATTAAATGATAAAGATATAAATAGTGTGAGACGAGCGGAAACAGCAGACAGATAATAGCAGAAGAGAGTAAAGTTAGGTCCAAGGAAAAGGTCAGTGTGAAGTTAAATACCATAGAAGTGATAGGCCTAATAATTAACATAAGCCTAACATTTAATACGTTAGAGCAACACTAACAGTTGAAAAGGAGATAAGAATAATAATTTATTCCATCAAAGCATGGTTCTAAAGTAATTGAATCAGCCTGAGTGCACTTTGACAAAATGAACAGAGGATATTTTGAAGAAAGAAGACCAAACAATTACAGTAATTCACACTACAATTGTAAGTGAATCACACACAGAATACTAGTGCAATAGTAATAGAGAAGGTAGTTCCACTTCTCAAATGAAATTCTAAAGCAACTGAGTAGGCCTAAGTGGACTTTGACAAGGAGAAAAATATATATATAGCGTTTATAGATATTGTTACGTCTCCGTTTGGTAATTAA